GAGGTGGAGGTTGCAATGAGCCGAGGTTACGACACTGCACTCCAGCCTGGGTGACAGAGTGAGATTCCGTCTCAAAAAAAAAAAAAAAAAAAAAAGTAAAGTGAAATGAGAGCTGTTAATGTTTTGATAATTTAGGCAAAGTTAACAAAATGAAGTTTATCTTACAAAAAGCACATCTTCTGTTTAATTATATCTAAGTTGTCTTGATAAAGTTTCATTTCTTTCACCATTCTTATAAATGGTTTAGCTATAAATAAAAAAGTAAAATCAGTCTGGGCAGGGTTACTCACACCGTAATCCCAGCACTTTGGGAGGCTGAGGCAGGTGGATCACCTGAGGTCAGGAATTTGAGACCACCTGACCAATATGGTGAAACCCTGTCTCTACTAAAAATAAAAAAAGTAGCTGGGCATAGTGGTAGGCACCTGTAGTCTCAGCCACTCAGGAGGCTCAGACAGGAGAACTACTTGAACCTGAGAGGTGGAGGGTGTAATGAGCTGAGATCATGCCACTGTACTTCAGCCTGGGCAACAGAGTGAGACTATATCTAAAAAAAAAAAAAAAAGTAAAATCAACAATTTAGTCTAATCAACTATATAAAAATTTGGGGTGTTGCTACTAAGGGATACGTTTTTAAAAACTTTACTTTTGGCTGGATGTGATGGCTCATGCCTAACACTTTGGAAGGCCAAGATGGGTGGATCACCTGAGGTTAGGGGTTTGAGACCAGCCTGGCCAACATGGCAAAACCCCATCTCTACTAAAAATACAAAAATTAGCTGGGCACAGTGGTGCATGCCTGTAATCCCAGCTACTTGGGAGGCTGAGGCAGGAGAATCGCTTGAACCCAGGAGGCAGAGATTGCAGTGAGCCAAGATTGTGCCACTGCACTCCAGCCTGGGTGACAGATTGAGACTGCTGTCTTACAATAATAATAATAATAATAATTGTCAATCTGGTTATCTAAAGAGGTAACAATAATCTATTAATGCTTTGGGAAAACAAGTTGGGTTGTCTTTGAAGACCAGGCTTCTTAGTTCATTCAAAAATATTTATTTTAATTTACAGCATGTGCCAAGCATTTTTATCTCCCCAGTATACAGTTGTGAACCAATCAGATAAGGCCCTGACCATTTTCAGCATTCTATCTAGTTGGGGTGGGACTGGAGGCTTAATTAAAATAGAGATATAGAAAAATATGCATCTAAGTAACATAAGTATGGAGGTGAGATGAAGCAACTAACAATATGGTAGAGATATCAGAAGTAGTATTTTGCAGCCTTGTAACCTCTATTTGACTTTTAGGTTTGGGTAGTATTTAAGTTATGAACCAATCAGATAAGGCCCTGACCATTTTCAGGTAGTATAAAAAAGCCTTAATTTTTCACTTTCCTTGCTGGTAAAGGTATGTTTATTTAGACTCTTCTTCTTTCTTCTTTTTTTTTTTTTAAGATGGAGTCTCGCTTTGTTGCCAGACTGGGGTGCAGTGGCGTGATCTTGGCTCACTGCAACCTCCGCCTCCCTGGTTCAAGTGATTCTCCTGCCTCAGCCTCCTGAGTAGCTGGGACTACAGGCACGTGTCACCACACCCAGCTAATTTTGTATTTTTAGGGATGGGGTTTCACCACATTGGCCAGGATGGTTTCAATCTTGTGACCTTGTGATCCGCCTGCCTCAGTCTCTCAAAGTGTTGGGATTACAGGTGTGAGGCACCGCGCCCGGCCCTAGACTCTTCATTTAAAGTAGCATTTAACATGGCTGGGTGTGGTGGCTCACACCTGTAATCCCAGGACTTTGGGAAGCTGAGGTGGGCAGATCACTTGAGGTCAGGAGTTTGAGACCAGCCTGGCCAACATGGTGAAACCCAGTCTCTACCAAAAATACAAAATTTAACCGGGCGTAGTGGCAGGCGCCTGTAGTCCCAGCTACTCAGGAGGTGAGTCAGGAGAATCACTTGAACTCGGGAGGCTGAGGTTGCAGTGAGCCGAGATTGTGCCACTGCACTTCAGCCTGGGTGAGAGAATGAGACTCCGTTTCAACTAAATAAATACATAAATAAATAAAAATAAAAGTAGTGTTTAACACAACAACTCTGTGAAAGCCATTCCATTACATAATCGCAAGCAAATTAGCTGTATACTCTTTCCTGTATTTTACAATTTAACATGATTTTAGGCCTCAATCTGCTTTTCAAATCACTGATATTTTAAATTTGGTCATGAGTAGAAAGTGAGTTTTGACTTATAGTGATTATATTTTTACTTTAAAAACTTGTTAATATTTTAGGACAGTTTGGAGCCTCTATTTTTTTTTTAATATTTAAATTCCCATTGCTTATTCTAGTAGCTTCTGCTAAGTGAAAATATTATATATGCAATTAAACAAATTGGCATATGCTTTCAGGAATTTTCTTTAATTTTTAAATTTTGTCATTATTGAGGTTAATTTTTTTACTCACTGTTCACTTATATATAAACACTTTGTGAAGTGAAATAGTCTTAAGTATGATGTATGATACACCTACATATAAATGAAAATGGCATGCACAATGACACTTTGCCATGGGAACTGTACTGGAAGGTTTATGAAAACATGTGAAATTGAACCTACAGTTGTGTTATTAGTGACTATAAGCAGCAGTGCTAAATTTATTGCACTTGATGAATGAATGTGTTTAGTCTAGTCACAGTTACTTTGGTTTAAATGCATGTGTCGGCTGGGCACGTTGGCTCACGCCTGTAATCCAAGCACTTTGGAGGCCAAGGTGGGCGGATCACCTGAGGTCGGGAGTTCAAGACCAGCCTGACCAACATGGTGAAACCCTGTCTTTTTTAAAAAAAGAAATTAAATGCATGTATCTTTAGGGTATTAGTTTTCACATGGCTATAAAGACCCCAAACTGGGTAATTTATAAAGAAAAGTGATTTAATTGATTCACACTTCCACAGGGCTGGGGAGGCCTCAGGAAACTTACAGTCATGGTGGAAGGAGAAGAGGCACATCATACATGGTGGCAGACGAGAGAGAGTGAACCAGCTAAAGGAAAAGAGCCCCTTATAAAACCATCAGATCTTGTGAAAACTCACTCACTATCATGAGAACAGTATAGGGGAAACCGCCCCTATAATCTAATCACCTCCCACTAGGTCCTGCCTTCAACACGTGGGGGATTGTATGGATTACACTTGGAGATGAGATTTGGGTGAGGACACAGAGCCAAACCATATCAGAGTTTTAAAAAATGTATTTGTAATTTGTACTCTTGGCAGGGTATTCTTGGACTGCAGGGGTTATTGTCAATGTGTGATTCGGGCTTTTATTTTATAGAATCATCTAATGTGGTGTACCAATTTTTATAAGTGATACATAATTATAATTGTATATTTGACAACCTATTAAAATATTTTGCATGGAACTTTTATTAATTGTAACATGCTAACAAACTGACAGTGGTTTAAAAATAACTAATTCAACAACAACAAAAGAAAAAAGGTTAAAAGTAAACATTTTTTAAGGGAAATCTCTTATCCAAAATTCTTTCAAGATTTTAACTTATTTAGTGACTAGTTCTGTATTTTTTCATGAGGAATAAATATGTCTCTGGAAGGAAAAAAACATTGCTATTAATAGTTATATGAACCTTCCAGAACCTAATCCAACACCAGACAACTGAGGCTAAAGGAACGCTAGATTGCAGCCTCAGTGACCAGACATGAAGAAGGAAAACAGGCTGGGTGCAGTGGTTCACACCTATAATCCCAACTTTTTTTTTTTTTTTTGAGATAAAATCTCACTCTGTCACCCAGACTGGAGTACAGTGACACCATCTTGGCTCACTACAACCTCTGCCTCCCAGGTTGAAGCAGTTTTCCTGCCTCAGCCTCCTGAGTAGTTGGGACTACAGGCACATGCCACCACGCCTAGCTAATTTATTTTATTTTATTTTTAGTATAGGCAGAGTTTCACCATGTTGGCCAGTCTGGTATTGAACTCCTGACCTCAGGTGATCCACCCTCCTCAGACACCCAAAGTGCTGGGATTACAATCGTGAGCCACACACCTAGCCTTCAGCATTTTTGAGACCGAGATGGGTGGATCGCTTGAGTCTAGGAGTTCAAGACCAGCTTGGGCAACATGGTGAAACCTTGTCTCTACGAAAACAACAAAAAAATTAGCTGAGCATAGTAGTGTGTGCCTGTAGTCCCAGCTACTCAGAAGACTGAGGTGGGAGGATCACTTGACCTCAGGAGCAGTGAGCTGTGATCACGTCACTGCTCTCCAGCCTGGGCAACAGAGTGAGACCCTGTCTTAAAAAAAAAAAAAAAAAAAGGACATAGATATCCAAAATAGGAATGGCAATCAATCCAGCAATTCCAGTATTTAACTGGCTTTCAAGGTGGTTGCTCCTGAACCAAAGGAAGAGCTACCAAGCAAGCTTTCCTCAGAGTGAGGCGCTCACATTCCTTCCTGGAAGAAGAAGTCTGGAGTGGCCAGCTTCCTCACCTTGCCTGACAGAAGTGACCACTGGTCACCTATGTCTGAATGGCGTGCCTGGCATGGTATCAAAGCCTTCTCATGACAATTGAGTCTAAGGTAGAAATGATACCTTTTTAAAACACATGAGAATGTATGGAAGAATCTAGTTCTTTTAAAAAAGAGGCATAGAAAGTTTGAGAAGGAGAAATATTTTGGATAACAATGACTACTCATTTTAAGTGCTATTTATTTGAGCCTCACCAATTAAAATGGTCCAGATTGAGTGCCACACTCTCCATCTCCAATGGTGTGTTATGTTATCCAGCTGGACCAATGCATTTCTGAGTTATTTATTTTTTGAGATAGGGTCTTGCTCTGTTGCCCTGGCTGGAGTGCAGTGGTACAATCATGGCTTACTGCAGCCTTGATTTCTCTGGGCTCAGGTGACCCTCCCACCACAGCCTCCTGAGTAGCTGGGACCACAAGCGCATGCCACCATGCCCAGCTAATATTTTTATTTTTAGTAGAGACAGGGTTTCACTATGTTGC